CATAAATTCATTTGATGGGAAATACATGCATCTTCCACCTGTTCTTTCTTGTTTTGTTTTTTTCCTTTAACAAGGATAGACAACTTGTCTAAATTCATGTACTGTTTTGATTGCTTGTACGGTAATGATAAGCTGGATTTGGAAGGAAAAGATTGAAGTGATTGTTCAAAATTTCAATTACACGCGAAAATTCCTGAAAGTAAGAGTACTTGGGATTAGCAGAATTTTTAAAAACACGAAACCAACTTGTTTAACAACGGGAGAACAAAATTCGGAGCAATGTCCCCAACAACAAAGCAGTTAGCGGCAATCGAGGATTGCTACTTTCTATTCTAAAAAGGCGATGGCGTAAGTGAAGCGAAAAGCTAACTTGTCTCCACAATTTGACCCGGTTCATCATGTTTTGGACATCGTGAGAACCCATTCAAATAATTCATCATTTCTTTTTAGAAGTCGTATTGAAACTTGAACAATGGTGTTCGTTAAACTTCATAGACATTGCAAATCGGAGAATTTTTTTTTTAATTGGAATATTGTAGTTTTAGAACGTAAATTAAGATTAAGCCCCTGTTTGATGATCATTAAAATATTTTTTTTTCAAAATCATTTTCAACCACGTATTCCCTCATTAAATAATCACAATTCCAAAATTAATTATTCCAAAAAAAAAAAAAAATCATTTTAAAGATGGTAAAAAAGGTGACTTACTTTTATAATTAAATTAGTAAAAAGGTAATTTTTTGTCGACAAAATGAGATTTAGATGTGACTGTACAAGGCACAGTTTTCAAGAAGGAAAAAGAGTCGTGCTATAATCATTCTCTAGTAGTAGCCTCCAGCTCGAAGTGAGCGAGCAATCTGATTTCTGCCATAAGTAGAAAGAAAGAGGATGAACAGAAAAAAGGATGACTTCAAAGTGAATTTCCATTCTCCCACTTGATATATGGATATGTTTGAACCCCAATTTTTTTTGTCAAAATACATTTTAAAATAATGATTTAATAGAAAATGTGTGGTTAAAAAATAAATTTTTTTTTTTTGAATTTGTATATAATACTATTTTATTGAAAAATGTATAATTGAAAAGAAGAGAAAATATATTTTGAAATGTAACTCTTAATGTAACATTTGATGTACAAGATTGAATAATTCTTCTCATAAATCCATTATCCAAACAACTGTAATATGGCTGGATTCCTGAGAGGCTGTCGGCAGCACCCGTACAATATCAGTACATCACTTTTGTCACTTTCCTCACTTGGAGTTTGCCGCTCGCGAAGTCCAATACTAAAGGCAAATAGTGGATAAGAGAGAAACGTATTTAAATTTATCACCTATTTCGTCTCAATTGTATAGATTGACATTTCTAATTTTTTTTGTCCACATTACATAGTCGTTTTTTTATTGACAATATTTTATTTTGTTCATATATTAATATACTCTTATGAATGTTTTTAGCAAAAAGTATTTTTTTAATAACATTAAATAAAATTTCTTAATTCCTGTGAAAAATAAAACAGTCTATAAAAATGAGACGGATGGAGTAATAGTCAATTGTATTTAAAACTATATATTTAATAATCAAACGTCGTGTACTTTCAACATAAGGTCTTTTTTATTTAATCTGAGATAAACAATTTAATGAAAATAAACTTCAAATATGTACAAAGTCATTGTTTGGCCCCCATTTTGGAGAATTTTTAAATTTTAGAATAGTGATTAATGGAAGAATGTATGGTTGAAAAATAATTAAAAGTTTTAAATTTGTGTGTAATGTTATATTATTTGGAAAATGTGTGATTAAAATTAAGAAAGAAAAAAAAATTAAAAATTTTAACGGGGCCAAACAAGGTCAAAGAATGTAATTATTTGATGAAAAACTTATAGTTGCTATTTAGCCCCCGTTTAACATCCATTTTTTTATCTCATTCTCATTCTCATTTTTCTACAGTACTCATTTCTAATCACACATTCTCCAAATAAAATAATATTACACATAAACCCAAAAATTCTTCTTACTTTTTAACCAAACATTCTTTACATAAATTANTAACCACACATTCTTTACATCAATCACTATTTAAAAACTCATTCTTCAAAAGAATGGGTGCCAAACAAGCCCTAAGATAAGTACGCTGAAAATGATCCATCTCTATCGTAAATTTTTATCGATGTCGTGTAGTAGTAGAAGATGGATTGAATTTGAAATTATTCATGGAGTCTACCAAATAAATTTTTAATATTTCAAAATACATTTTTTCCAAAATCTCGTTAAAATGGAATCTAAGAGTGTGTTTGGTAGGAATTTTTGGGGGAAGAATTAATTTTTGAATAGTAATATGATGGGAAATGTGTGGTTGAAAAAGAAGAAAAAAGTATTGATGTGATGGAAAATATTATTTTATTGAAGAATGAATGGNGTATCCGAAATCGGCGATTTTGGTGGTCGGAAGTTGTCGAAAAATTGCCTCAAACTTGCCCAAAAAATCTGAAAATTCAGTGACCGTTTTGAAAGAAATTTCAAACTTCAGTGACCGTTTCTGAAACTTTGAAACTTCAATGATCGTTTTGAAATTTTCAGGTAACTTCAATGACCATTTGTGAAATTAACCCATTCCTAAAAATGTTTTATAATTATCTAAAAATGGTGAAAGAAAAACTCAGGAAAAAAACTGTTTATCCCTTGTTTGAAAGTATGATTATTTGAAAATTACTGTTTTTTTCTGCACTTATTTTCAATTATATACATTTTTCAAATAAAAATCATTTTTATAGTTTAATAATTTATCTTACTTTTTAATAGTATATTTTTCAAAATATCACCTCAGCTGCGGATTAAAAGAATCCAGTTGTAAAGCACTGGCACAAAAATTCATGGGATCCTGGGCTCGACTGCAATACTGATGTGCAAAAGTTGGCCTTAAATTTGGACAACTACCTCGTTGATTGTGTCCTTAAAACTAGGGAAAGTTATACTATTTGTCCACAGCGTATTTCATAGGATCTTTGCACAATCAATTTTCAATCTAAACTAAACAGACATAAAATAATCATGCAATCTTCGCATATTTGACTGTTCGAAGCTAAATTTTGCTTGTTGAACTTACACATGTTTGTCCTATATGGCCATGCGAGAGTTCACGATTTAGATAGTTTTCGTTATTGAAGGCTTAGAACTTAGACCAGTTCACCTAATGGCGTTTTATGGGAACAAGAAATTCTCTATGAACAAGAGTCGAAATTTTGTGCTTCTTGTAAAGTCTTTGGGCATTCCACAGTTGGATGCAATTATTAAAAAATAGAGTGTGGATGGAAAGGTGAATTCCAACAATGCCAATGTAGCCAAAACACTTGTTGTCTAGGTGAAGGACAAGCAAATCAGCCAGGGGCGGACGCATAAGTTTAAAGTTAAGGGGGGAGCAATCGAACTTGTAAAAAAGTTGGGAGAAATTTTACAATCGAAAATTTACTTCCAAAAAAATCGTACTTCATGTAATTTTGCATTTGAAAATTTAAATAGGATATGATTTTTCAGACGTAAAATTTCGAATAAATTTTATGTCATATTCCATATAAAATTTTCTAATAAAATGATGAAAATTATATTGAAAAAGTTGTATTGTAAAAATAATAAAAGTTAATGAAATAATTGAATTTTTTTAAAGAAAATGCGAGTTAGACGTTTTTCTTTAAAAATCACGTTTGACGCATTTTNATGACATAAGCAATTTGTAGATTCGATTAGCGTACAATCGTCGAAATTTTTTTAAAGTTAGCATATTATTGAAATTTTCAAAATACTAATTCTGAACGACTTATTTTGACAAGTCGTAGTATTTATTACGATTGATCGTTTTGTACGCCATTAACGACGTAGAAAACTAGACCGTGAACACTTCGAAATGGTATTGTGAATGCAATATTTCGCTCATGTTTGATGGAGAATTAAGATTTTGTTAAAAGACGAGAGAAAAAGAGAAAAATTCAAATTTATTGTGAGTTTGCTCTTATTTAATAGATATTAAAATCAAATTTTTAGTAAATTTTGATAAAAATTAAATAATTATGGATTCCATGAAATATATTATTAAAATTAATCGTTAACTTTGATTTATATTAAAATTTAGATTTCAATTGATACTAAACATGACTTTAATTAAAAAAAAAAACTCAAAAGTTGGGGGGGTCACGTGAGCCCGTAAGACCCCCTTGGGTACTTGTATGACTCATCGATTTTGTTTTCCCCAGGTACACCCTGTGTACTTGTACATGAGATTTGATTTATAACAAATTTACATTTATTGATTAAAAAAAAAAAAAAAGATGATGGGCCAACTTACTATTCTTATGAGAAAAATTTGGATTGCGTTGTTTCAACCTTTTAATTAGTGTGAGATTAGTTTTTTTTTTCGATATCTAGTGTGAGATTAGTTAATTTGACGGTCAAAAAGTAAAAAAATAAAAAATAAAAAAAATTTAAAATGATTGTTATGCCCTAACTTAAACATTTTTATATAAAGCCCCAATTTGGGCTCTATTTTTACAAAATATATCTTTTAAAATTTATTTTTAACCACATTTTTTCATAAAATAAGGTTACATGTGAATTCAGATTTTTTTTAACTATATACATTTTATTAAGCCCCAGTTTGGCTTTATTTTTACAAAAAAAAAAAACATTTTAAAATTTATTTTCAATTATACGTTCTATCATAAAATAATGTTATATGTAAATTGAAATTTTTTTCTTATTTTTTAACTATATACATCTTATAAAAAATAAATATTTCAAAACATATTTTTCTTAAATATCTCATTTTAATGCAAGCCAAAGTTAAGAGAACAGTAACACCGTGGCTTCTTTACCCGAAGAGGCCTATAAAATGCAGTGCATCGGACACCGATTTCTCAGTTTCAAGTCCTTTGTTTTCTTGAAAATATATAACTCAAAAAACTCTTCCCCCCTCCAAACCCCCGAAAAATACAATGTTGAGTTCGAAAATGGCTCCTCGGTTAGTTTTTCTTGCAGCCCTTTTGCTGTTCTTCCTTGCTCAGGTAATGTAGCGTTTTCTTTGACACGATTACAGTTGCATACTTTCTTGTGTCTTTTTTGGGCTGCATTTGATTTTGCTAATGTTTGGTGTGCAGGTTTCATCTGATGTTGAAATTGAAGACCAACAGAAATTGGTTAATTAATTGCCCTTCTTTTACATCCGCTTTTTGTTTACATTTTATAACGTGTGTTCTTTTTAAGTTATATACTGTTTCTCTGAGTAAAAAAATGACTTTTTTTGAAAAACCATTCAATCCAGCACCAAACACCCAACTAACATTTCTATGCTCATTTCTAACTTTAGGCGATCAGAGGTGCTAACAGAAGGCTGTTGCCATTCACGGGTATGCTTTAGCCACTTCCCACCTAAAAGAACCCTTATTTTTCCATCTTATATGAACTTACTTATTTTTTAGCCCTATAAGTTGTAAATGGTTTTTTGTTTTGGCAGATTGTGCAGGATTGTGCAAGGTGAGGTGCAGCTTACACTCAAGGCCAAATTTGTGCAGCAGGGCCTGTGGCACTTGCTGTGTGAGGTGCAAATGTGTCCCCCCAGGCACTTCAGGGAACAGAGAAATGTGTGGAACTTGTTATACTGATATGACTACCCATGGAAATAGGACCAAGTGCCCTTAAATGCATCCTGAAAACCTAAGTCACGTTGTCCTTTGTACTAGGATATGGGTTTCTTTAGATGTTAATTGTGTTATGTGGAATGTGTATCTATCTATGTGTCATATTAGGTGGGACTTGGGCTTGAATCTTTATGTTGTTACTATGATGCAATCCACTCTTTGTTCCTGTGGAAGTACTTTGAGCAATTTATTAAATGGTACTTCAGTTTGTTTAATAATATGGGTATGCGCGGAAACACGAGATATGATGAGATTATGATAGCCGGAAATGTTATTTTTCAAAGAAAAGATATGCTCAAGTAGGAGAGTAATGTGTACGGCGGAACAAGAAATCCACAGAAATAGGAAACGCGATATGAATATGATAAGCGAAGGATCTTGTTTCTGGAAAAAAAAAAATGATGCTAAATCAAACATTTCGAGATTGGATTGAAAGAAAAATAATTGATTTTGTTCTTTTTTCAAATCAACATTGAGCCAAACAAGGGAGAGTGTAAGGCTAGTACATCTATCATAATTCAACTTCAAAACCTTGAATCATCATCCCCAACACCGGCACTGAAATCCTCCGCCTCTAAATCCTCTATCCCAAAATCCTCGAGCCCCGCCTCTCCTCCTACCAACTCATCCACTCCAATCCCCGTAAGGATGAGCCCTAATCTCCACCTATCGCTAGTAGGAGATTTTCCTACACCCACCATCGGCAACTCCAGTCCTGATGTAGATGCTTTGAGATCCACTACTGTTATTGTAGAAGGGATGCCATTGTTGCGATACTGGAGCAGTTGCTATGTGGGATCTTTGGCATAATGATTCATCTAGCATTTTGCATTATAGTATAATGGTTACATAATTTATTTAGTGGATTTGATACTCTAAGATGGTGTTTTTTTTTTCGAGATCAGAAAAATCAATAAATAAATGATTTCGTAGATTTTTCATCCCTTTGAAAATAGACCAATATTAGATATTCTACGTCGTCTTTTTGGTTGAGTGTATTTTATGCTTGATCTCAAGTATTCATTTTCCCCTCAATTCTGTGTGTTTGTCCTTTTGTATCTACTGCATTGTTATCATCCCCTCCTTTACTAAATGTTACCAAATCTCTACATCTAAAATAAGCATATGTATCTGCTCTTTTGTTGTTTGTAAACAATGTAGTTTTTGCGGTATTGTTCTTTTCTTCATTCCTTAGCAATCCTCTGGATAGTAGCCAGATTAGTTGTTTAGCTATGTTGTTTTCTTATATTTGTGTGGTGTTGTGGTATAAAGGAAAAGTTATGTATATATTTTTAGTGAACCGGAAAGAGGCTTCTGAATAAACAGTGAGATGTTTTCAACATAAGTCGAAAGCATTAAAATTGTTACATTTCGGATTGTTTGTCACTTTTTTTGGAGCGCCACTGTTTTGGAGTGTTTTTCACTTTTTTTTATTGGTTGTCGCTCTCTCTCTCTCTCTCTCTCTCTCTTTTTTTTTTGCATTTGTCACTTTTTAATACTTAACTTCACAAAGTATTTGTTATTTCCGAAATAGTTCCATATAATTTTTCAAAAGACATCTAAGTTTTTAAGGATATTTTTAGGGAACAATACATTTCTAAGGTATTTACTTTACACCTTTTCAAAAATACAAAAATAAGTTTGAAAATTTACAAATCAGGTTTTTTAAAATTTTAATTAATAATTAATGAATTATTAAATCAATTTATTATTAAATATTTAATTCTAATTTAATAAAATTACCCCACCCCACCTCCACCACCCCAACCGGATTTCCGATCACCATTCTTCTCCGACGACTGTTCCGACGACCTCTCCGGCGACTACTCCGGTGACTGCTTCGATTTCGACACGTATTCCGATGACCGTTCCGCCACTTTTTAGGTCACAATTCAAAAATTTCATAGGTCACAATTTGTTCATTGGTCACAATTTAAAAATTTTAAAGTCACAATTTGTTCATCGGTCACAATCACAAAATTTAAAAGTTACGTTACTTATTTTATGGTCACAAACACCAATTTATTGGTCACAAATCAATAATTTTTAGGTCACAAATTAGTAATTTTTAGGTCACACAGCTTGTACTCGTCACAGTTTATTGAATTCATTGGTCACAATCACAAAATTTATATTGTGACCACCGAATTTTATGGTCACAGATTATTTTTTCACCACGAATTAAAATTTTTTATGGGTCACAGATTAAAAAAATTAAAATTTTTACTGGTCACAATCACAAGAATTGGTCACAAACACTACCCTACTCCCGCCCTCGCCACAACACCATCCAAACCACCACCGTCACCCCCGTCACACTACCATTGCCATCGCCTGCACCGTAACACCAAAAAAACCACCAACCACTGCCACAATAACAACACCGTCTACAACGACACCACACCTTGCCCAGACCATCACCAGATCTGCCGCCAACAACCAAATCCAACGCTACAGCAGTGACCACCACACAAACACAACCACCCCCATCCACCACCACTGAAAACACACGCAAAAACCACATCAATCGTGGAGCTGCAGATCCCGGCCATGGCAGACAGATCCCGACCAGCACCAGCACCAGTCAATCTCATCCTCACCAGCACCAGTCAATCGTGCGGCGCTGCATCCACCTTCATTTGAACCCAACCAAACCCTAAAATTCTCTCCACTCTCACCTCCCGTATCTCGCAGCCTCGTCAATCCGCTGTGAACGTGTGACGCAGCGATGCTCAGATCTGCCAAAAACTCGTCGTGACTTCCAGCAACGCGTGATGGTAGTGGCAGCATCTTCACGTCAGTCCGGCGAAGAGATAGAAGGAGAAGGAGAAGGAGCGCGGTGGCGGTGGCGGGTGAGGAGGGAACGGTTTGGGAAGAGAATGGGGGGAGAGAAATGTTTGGGTTGTAATTTAATTTAGGGTTTGGAGGGGGTATGTATAGATTGATATATTATTATTAAATATTAATTTATATTAATTATCAATTAAAACCTGATTTATGTATAATTAAACTTGAATCCTTATTTATGAAAATGGGAATCTAAAAACCTTTCTAGGTGTAATTTCCTCATATTTTTATAAGTTGCCCATTCTTGATTTACCAACCAGTTACTTCTTTAATTTAAAGCCCGTATCTGAATTTCAACCTTGATCAGTTTAAAAGCCCAATAAGGTATAGCCCATCCAATCCTAGTGGGCTATTGGGCTTCAAAATTTTCCTAGACGTAAACTAATGACACTAAAAATCGGAACAATTATATTAGGGTGCGTTTGATTGCAAGGGTGGAAAATGGGTGGAAAGAAAATATTTTACAGGGAAAAGATTTTCCTAGAAATTGTTTTCCAGAGAATTGTAATTAGTTGCGTTTGATTGGTATAATTTTCCAACTAGAAAATGTTGAGATTTTCCTACTTTTGGTGTTTGATTGACTTTATTTTCTATGGAAAATTATGATTATTTGTGCGAAACTATCCAACTTAATAAAAAATTTCCGACAACATCCGATCATCCTCCAGCAGCAACGCCGCCTGCGCCTCCTCCCCCAGCCTCCTCCCCCACCTGCAGACTCCTCCCCCCCAGCCTGCAGCCCCCTCCACCTCCCCCAGCCTGCAGCCTCCTCCACCACCTGCATCCTCCTCCCCCAGCCTGCAGACTCCTCCCCCCCAGCCTGTAGCCTCCTCCCCCACCTGCAGCCCCCTCCACCTCCCCCAGCCTGCAGCCTCCTCCACCACCTGCATCCTCCTCCCCCAGCCTGCAGACTCCTCCCCCCCAGCCTGTAGCCTCCTCCCCCACCTGCAGCCCCCTCCACCTCCCCCAGCCTGCAGCCTCCTCCACCACCTGCATCCTCCTCCCCCAGCCTGCAGACTCCTCCCCCCCAGCCTGTAGCCTCCTCCCCCACCTGCAGCCCCCTCCACCTCCCCCAGCCTGCAGCCTCCTCCACCACCTGCATCCTCCTCCCCCAGCCTGCAGACTCCTCCCCCCCAGCCTGTAGCCTCCTCCCCCACCTGCAGCCTCCTCCACCTCCCCCAGCCTGCAGCCTCCTCCACCACCTGCAATCAAACTTAACAAAACTCCCCCAGCACCTTCTCCACCAGCCAGTTCTCCACCACCAGTTCTCCCCCAGCAACTGCAAGCCCAACTCCCCCAGCACATTCTCCACCACCAGCCTCCTCCTACTCCAACTTCACCACCTGCAATCCCAACTCCCCCAGCACCTGCAAGCCAAACTCCCCCAGCACCTGCAAGCCCGCCTTCCCCAGCACATTCTCCACCACCAGCCTCCTCCTACTCCAACTTCACCACCTGCAATCCCAACTCCCCCAGCACCTGCAAGCCAAACTCCCCCAGCACCTGCAAGCCCGCCTTCCCCAGCACATTCTCCACCACCAGCCTCCTCCTACTCCAACTTCACCACCTGCAATCCCAACTCCCCCAGCACCTGCAAGCCAAACTCCCCCAGCACCTGCAAGCCCGCCTTCCCCAGCACATTCTCCACCACCAGCCTTCTCCTACTCCAACTTCACCACCTGCAATCCCAACTCCCCCAGCCAGTTCTCCACCACCAGCCTCCTCCTACTCCAACTTCACCACCTGCAAGCCCAACTCCCCCAGCACCTTCTCCACCACCAGCCTCCCAACCTCCTACTCCAACAACTCCACCAGCCTTCCAATACACCTGCTCCAGTTTCTCCACCAATTCCTCTCGCATCAATCCCACCTCCAACTAACTCCCCCACCGTCCCAACAGGTGGGAATTCGTGAATAGGAGAAAACCCAACCGAATCCGTTCTTCCGAATTCAACTGAAGAAATTGGTTCCTCCGAATTCATCTGAACAGGAGGAACCCCAACCTCCAATTGCCAAAAACCCCTTTACTGCACCCGCACCTAAGAAACCCAATTTGTCCTCTACCTGCCTCCAAGTGATTCCGGACCCACATCTCCGACCAATTCCGTCGCCGCAGAACGCCCTGCTATGGAGAAGGGGAGTGATGTCAAGATT